CTTAAGTATTCCTGACCCAAATTACGCCTTCTCTTGCTCTTCACTCTTTGGTAACTGGCTTCTCTTTTTTGTCTCCAACGAGATTTTGGAGGTTTTTCAGGTGATTTCTCAGTAGATCGCCGCGTTTTGGATGCTAAACTTGCTAGTTCATTTTCGGATTCAGTAGAAAAATCTTCCCTCTGAAAATATATCGCAATAAAATGATAAGCAATATGAGTAACCTGCAATAGGGTGACAAGCCTCAGTTCAAAATAAAATAAATATTTTTTGGAAGAACATGACAAGCCACAAAAACTTAAAAAATACATACTTCACTGTTTTCTGAACTTTCATCGTTGTCACTTAATGCATAGTCCTTGTCGGCAACACTATCATCACATGAATCTTCAAACTCGTCACTACAGCTGGTACTTTCATCACAATCCATTATTTTATCCGGTACTCTCACATTGCTGGCGGCCATCTTAGTGTGGCTTGTCACATTATGTGTAATTTTTTACCCCAATTTGTAGAATGTTATAAGATGATTATACTAACAACAGCGCCATCTTTTAGAGAAATGCAAAAACCTTTGCTAAGTGGCTTGTAATACTATTGCTTAATGCTACAAAGCAAAAATGTTGTTTTTTGAAAAAGCGTGGCTTGTCACGTTTTTCCAATAAGCCCTTCAATTTAAATGCAGATGTTAAAAATGAGACTACAAGTTTTTCAAATATTTAAGAGATAGCTGATTGAATGCATACCTGCCTGTAATTCTTAGCATTTGCCTTGTCGCCTGATTTAAATATTGGCAAAACCTAAGAACCAGTGAGGTTATTTGGTTTACGTAATTTTAACCTATATATATATATACACTCATCAACAATGTCTAAGGATATATAAAATTTCCACCATGTAGTATCATGACTTCATCAATGAAAATTTCAATTTATTTTAGCGTTTACCTTTTGAAGCAATTTTTATTTTTAATTAAATAATTATAATTATTAAATTAAAAATAAAAATTAATAATTATTAATCAACATTATAATAAGTATTATAGTTATTTAGTTGTTTTTTTTATAATAAATTGATCCAAAGAAGGTTGTATTTTTTAATATTCATATTTTTTGCTTGGTTCTCTATGTCCACCTGCGTATCGTTTTGATCTTCATCAGATTGTTTTAATTTTTTGTTTAATTACAAGTTGTAATTTACAACAACTTAATTAAAAAACAAAATACAATAATTTCTCACATATTATTATATCACTTAACTTTTGTTAACTTTTCAACGTGATAAATATTTTTATTTTTTTATCATGTTGGTAGCGCTAAAACCGAAAAAAACCTAAAAGAACCGAAAAGCAAATAAATGTTTCGGTTCCGGTTCAACAGATTTTATCAAAAGCGAAAACGGTTCCGGTCCGGAAAAAAACCGGTTCCGTTCCGGTTTTCGGTTTTTTTCGGTTTCGGTCCGGGTCCCTGAACGAAACTAAGCGTGTGCGTAAACTAATACGAATTCGTATAAAAACTTAAGGTTTTAACTTATTTTTTTAAGGAGTCTAATCCTAATTTTGTTTGCAATATTAATGATATACAAAAAGTGGACGTAAAATTATGAATATGAATTAAATCACAAGTCTGTTCTTAAAATGTGGACACTTAATGGATACTATCATCCTTGGGACATTTTTACAACCATCTGGATAAATTTGTGTTAAGATATAATTGTTTTTAGAATGTCAACTTAAGCTTGTTATAACTGTTTTAAGTATGACAATTTAAGCTTTATAAGCAGGTATAACATTTTAAAGAATGTCAACTTTAGATAAATACATATAACTGTCTTAAAAATGTCAACAAAATCTAGATATACCTTACCAGTTTTTAAACAGCAATTTATACTTTGTTTAAAACGGTTAATTTTGATGGGTACTGATAATTTTAGGCAATGTGCATTTTTGATTTACATCCTTGGAACGTTTTAAACTTAAATATGCATTTATGATCTGGTCTCAAGTTTATACTGTTCATATTTACATTTGTTGGAAAGCATTCAGAATAGATTTATTCGTTATATGCGTTATAAGCTGTCTCTTCAACTAAACACTGATCAAACAAGACAGTATTTGGGGCTAAAACAATTATACAGAGAAGATGCAACTTTTTTTATAAAGTGATAAACAGCCTTATTGTGGACCCTAAAATATTGTATTGTTTTTTAATTCATACTCCTTGTAGAGACTTAAGAAATAATCTCTTATTACATTGTCGTGTGTTAAGGATTGTTAATGATATGCCTAATTTAAGTTTTTTGGCGTTTCCTTGTACTTTTAAACGCCAATTAAATCAGATGTAATATATAATTTATATTCTTTTTGTTTTTTTATTTAACTTTTTATAAACCTGTAAACTCATCTATGTATTAATTGTTACTGCTATTTTGCGTTAATAACAAATTTAATCTCATACATTAACGTGGATAATTAGAAAATGGAGTATTTTAAAGATCGCTTTTGAAACTAGATATATGAAATTTTTAAAAGAGTGAATATTAATAAAATGAAATATTATATATTTTATTTCCATAATTGACAATTTTGGTTTCTTGTTATTTGGTTTCTACATCATAATCATAAATATTCAATGCAAATTTCTTAATATTAATGAATAAATAATGTGTTGACAATTTTTTTTTTAATTTTCTATTTGTATGTTTATTAAATTATTTGCAAATTTTCGTAAAGAACGAAATTTTTAATAAAATATTCGCAAATTTTAGGCAAAATAGTTTTTTTGCTTGATTGGATTAATGAAAGAAAGTAAGTTTCCAATGGAAAAAACATAGACATATGGTGAAAAAAACAACAAAAATGGCATTAAAAAACGGTAAAAAACATTTTAAAGAATATCAACTTTATATAAATACATATAACTGTCTTAAAAATGTCAACAAAAGCTAGATATACCTTACAAGTTTTTAAACAGCAATTTATACTTTGTTTAAAAGGGTTAATAGTGGCAATTGCCGTATATAACCAAAATGAAACATTACCAAAAAAAATCTAAAGAAGCAATATTGTCAAGTAATGGTGGAAACAAAAAATACACATAATAAAGTTCTTCGAAGTCAAGCTTTTATTCATACCGGGATAAAAAGTATCTACAATATTAAACCTACATGTATATGTATATATTATATGTTATATATTAAAATACTGAATACCTTTTGACATAAGGAATAAAGGAAAAATATTTTAAAAAGCATTTTTCCAAAGATAAAGAAAAAATATGCATTAGAAGTTTTTTATATTTTTTGTGATACGCCACTGGTTACACACTTGTTTATCTCTGCACACCTGTATTTTGTGAGTACATAGATACCAACCAACAAAGTAGCTATGCGTTGCCAGATGTAAAAAATTTACTAAAAATTCAATAAATACAAAAGTTTTATGCCCTTAAAGCTCTAATACCCTTCTGTATTTATTTACTGATCCAGCTATTAGCTTAACGGCCATTTCAAGCGCGCGAAACGCACGAATTACAAAACTGTTTTTATAAAAAAAATTGTAGATTATTTATTATATAATATTTTGGCATCAAAATTGTCAAAAATATTCTTCTTTTATTAGGTTATACATTAGATAAAAAAAAACTCAAGAAATATTTTATGAAAGTAGATATAATTTTAATAATTGAAAGGTGTGGACGGGACAAAAAAAATATTTATCTTGTCCCGTCCATCCCTGTCAATTATTGAAATTATCTCTACTTTTATAAAATATTTCTTGCGATTTTTTTTATTAATGTATACCCTAATAATAGAAGAATATATTTGACAATTTTGATGCAAAAATAATATATAATAAATTAGCTACAATTTTTTTTTATAAAAACAGTTTTGTGATTTGTCCCGTCCATCCGCTTGAAATGGCCGTTAAGCAATGATTAGAAAATTTAGTACCTTTGAAATTTGAAATCCATAACCACAAAATTAATTTTTTCATCAGTTTTTTTCTCTGTTTACTCAGATGAAATTGGGACCAGTTCACAGGTTAAACTTTAAACATTTAATTTGTGTAAATAAATCCAAAAGCACTTCCCTTAGTTAAGATATTTACAATTTGAAAACATAACCTAAAATTTAAAAGAAATGCACTAGATTCTGTCATAAAAGTTGGCAGATTTTGTTTGAATTTACCTTCAGTACAAAAATGAAATAACCAACAATTAATAAAAACGCCAAATTGACAATTTGCATTGTTAATTTTGTCATTTTTGTAATTAAGCTAAATTTAAACAATGTTTGTCAACTTTTTTGAGAGATTTTGGAAACACTGTTGTTACCAACCATAACATAATAAATCCACCAGATTAACCTAAAGTTCCTAGTAGATCAGTGGCGTACTTTTTGGTAGGATAAAGGTTATTATAAATTATTTTTAGACTTTGGAATTTAGAAAAAAAAAGTTTCAGGTGCTTCTTTATGGACCCTAAGGAACAACCCATTTTAATATATAACATTAATTACATAACACCCTGTATATTTAATAATAACAAATTATTTTGTTTATTTCACTCTTTAAAATTTAATCTTAATATAATCTTATAATTTAAATGCAGATGTTAAAAATGAGACTACAAGTTTTTCAAATATTTAAGAGATAGCTGATTGAATGCATACCTGCCTGTAATTCTTAGCATTTGCCTTGTCGCCTGATTTAAATATTGGCAAAACCTAAGAACTTTTCCATGCTTTAGGAAAGACCCCGGTGCTTAACGATTTGTTACAAAAAATTAAAGGAAAAGAATATACTTTATTGTGAATTATTGTAGCGGTTTTGAAAAAAACTGTTTTTTATATATTTTTTTTTGAATCTGAAAAAAACCGTTTACTTATGCCACATCCGTTTTGACGCAAAATTTAAACAGTGCCGAGTGCACCCGAACACGAACAAAAGAACTAGTGAGAAATCGTAAGCTGTTTTTGACATAATTATAATTTTCCTAATGTAGGTGGCGCACTCTGGTTCCGCCTTGGTCCACTTCTTCAGCGACGACGCATACAACATGTCCGGCTTCAACATCACGTATCGGCTAAACGCTTGTCCGTCGACCGTCTCTGGGAAAAACTGCTCGGGGCGCGGCATCTGCATAGACGGCGTCTGTACTTGCGATGGCCCGTGGGACGGCGCCGCCTGCCACATTGAAAAGTGCCCAGGCAATTGCGGGGCGGCGCAGCAGCGCGGCATCTGCGAGCCGGTGCGCGGCTGCATGTGCCTGGGCGAGAACAAGGGCGCCGATTGCGGCCAGACGCGCAGCGAGGGCTATTGGGAGACGGTGAACGCGCGCAGTTTTGTCCCAGGGGGTGCGGCGTCGCACGGTGCCGCTGTTTGGAAGGATTCTATGTACGTAGTTGCCGGCGAAAGCTACAATAGGGATTTCGTCCTCCATGTCTATGATTTTAACGGTAAGTTGACTCTGGTTTTACTTAGTAAGAAGCAGATTTATGCAGCGATCGCGCTACCTAGCGGAAGCGAACGTATTTTATGTATTGTATACTCATTAGAAGTACAGTCGTATGCAAATAAAACGTACACGTATTAAAATGAGAGGTACTTCATTTGTAATTATACGAGTTTTTTCAAATTCAGATAACTGACGAGGCATTATTCAATTATCTGTCAACCTGAGGGCTGGTTTACATCTACGGCACTGTATTTTTTTATAATCTAACTCGCCATATTTGACAAGTGCAGTACCTCTCATTCTAAGGCTGTACGCTTTTTATTTGCATACGACTGTACCTAGGTATATATTTTTTTGATATAAAATTAAGTAAAACTAATGTGCCTCAAAAGTCAAGAACAGCAGAAAAGATGTGGATAGAGAATTGGATTCTAAGTCGAATAGACTATTCGGAATAGTCCATGCCGTTTTTCGATCAGACGCACCATTAATTAGTTAATTAATAAAATAAAGTAGCCAATAACGGGCGTATTTTAGCAGAATGATTAAAGGTGGAAGAACTATAATATGCAGCAAATCTTAAAAATTCTATATAAAATCTTAGTGTAAAATGACCTTAATTATATGGTTGGCATTGTCACTGTCAATATTTTAGTTTTTGGGTTTGCTTTTAGTTAAAAAGGGCCGTTTTTTAAATAGGATTTGGTCTGTTTATATCTTGAGATGCTTATTTAAAAAAAGTAAAATTAATTAATTATTATTAATATTATTAAAATAATCATTTTTACTTATTTAAAAAAGTAAAGTAAAATATATCACCATCAACCTTATACAATTAATGGTTCGTCTGATCAAAAAACGGCCAAGACCATTTGACTTAAAATCCACCCTTTTTCTGCTGTCCTTGAATTTTGAGACACCCTGTGTCCAGTCATGCATTTGCGAGTTTTTCCTAAGTTTAAAAAAGTGCAACTTGGCCAATTATTTGAGGACCTATTTGTAAGCATTTATATCTCTTAAAAATCTCAGGATGGTGTGAGGGTTAAGTGGTAGAAAATCAGGGTTAAGTGGTAGAACAGCTAATGCTGAACTTTGATCAATAAAGACTAAAAAAAAATAGGTTTTTTTTCGCCAATACGCGTGTTTGAGTAGACTTTGCCGCGCCTGTACCCTGAAACTGTTTTTTACATAAAAAAAAAGTTAGGACATAAAAGCCCCTTTACACGACGCAAGTTTCAGGCAATTCAAGATACTCGCAAAAAAACAAACGTTTAAATGATGCAAGTCTTGCGCAATGTAAGCAGTGCTGAATACGTAATAAATTCAAAATATTAAAGGTAAGTAAACAAAAGTAGGTAAACAAGGTTTCAATGTTGGCAAAAAAATACTAGAATAATTTAATTACTTCAGCACTCTTGCGCGTAAAATAGAACGTTCAAATTATTTCGTCTTGCGAACGACGCGTACGATTGAAAACTGCATTAAAATCCTCTTGCATTGCCTAAGAATTGCGTCGTGTAATGGGGTTTTTGTGAAAATTCGAAAAGAGCACGTCAAAATACCAATCTTCAAAACTTCTGGAGAAACCCCCTTTTGAGTACAAAATGACTGAATAGTCCAGTCATATAGGCATTTCACCTCGGAATCTAACGGAATAAGCTGAATTTTTGTACAAACCTTTATTTTAGCATTGCAAATGTTGTATCAAAAGTCACATATGCCAACGTGTGAGCGACCTTAGATATTCAAGGTCAAAGGTCGCAAAAATCAATTTTTTGAGAATATCTCCTTTTCTCTGCCTCCTATCGTATTTGCATTTATTATACAAATTGTAGAGAATAAAATTCTCTACAAAATTTGTTTAAAACATTTTTTTATACGTCCAATCGTTTTTGAGATAGAGGGCGCAGAGTGTGGAGCGCTCAGCCATACGTACCTTTAGCGCAAGGTAAATCATGAATCACAATCTATTATACCGTTTTTTTAATTAATTATTTATTAAATATTACTTAAATAACAATTTAATACCTTATATTTATTTTTATATATTTTTTTAATCAAATAGTCATTAAATATTACTTACTTTTGAGATACAAATAATTAAATAATGAAGTGAATCATTCTAAATATATTCTAATGTTATTCTAATTAATGATAAATGGATTTTAAGAAGAAAAGACATTAAATGAATTTGCCTTAAATATGTCTCTGGTCATCTCTTGGATCCAGATATTGCTTTTAAAATAACAGACCTGGAAATACTATAGTGGGCTTGCTATAAATAAAAAGGTTAGGTATACCTATATTAAATTTTAAAGCAAGTTGTGTCCCTAGGTATAGGTCTAGGGTTGTGACAAGTAATATTCGTAATATTTTAAAGGTTAACATGGCTGATTTGTGTTTTATTTGTAATAAGTTACTTTCTGAAGGTGATTCTGTGACTTTTGTGCGCGGTATAAAGACTTTAAAAGAAGCAATTATTGAGAGAAATAAACATAAACTACCTAAATACTTTGAATTCTGTGAACGTTCATATTGAGTGTCGAAAATTGTACGCTATAACGTACTATAGTAAAATTGCAGCAGCAAAACGTCGCCTTGAAGAGACTGGACCTTCAACGTCATCAACTGTACCTCGTAAAAAAGGGAATGATGTGTTTGATTTTAAAATATTGTGCTTATTTTGTGGTGAAGTCGCGGATGAGGCAACAAAGGCAAACAAATCTGCAAAGTACAAACGCGTTATAAGTACGTTTTTGAAGATATGACAATTAATGTCAATGATAACGAGGAGAGTGATGATGAGAATGAGTCTGAAATTGCTGGCCAACCTGAAGAAGACGAGGATGAAGAAGATAAAGATTAATAATAATAATAATAATTATTATATTGATTTAAATAAAAACATTTTTTCCTACTCCGATTCAATTATCCTTCATTAAAATTAAATTAAAATATACTCTCTAAAAATAAATTAGTCAAAAATGACTAATTTAATAGTTGTTAGTGGCTGCTTTTTCACTTGTACCTTGGTTAACCATGGAATACCATGGTATCAAGAAATTTAACAGCCAATTCTTATGTAAAATTGTCCCTTGAATCCGAAAATACCGTCAAAAATTATGAAAGTGGAGCAGTTTTTGAGATATAGTCAATTTCATATGAAATGGAAAATTGACTATATCTCAAAAACTGTTATAGTTTTTTAACTTTTGACATTTGACATTTTCGGATTCAGGGGACAATTTTACATAAGAATTGGCTGTTAAATTTTGGGATACTATGGTATTCCATGGTTAACCATGGTACAAGTGAAAAAGCAGCCACTAATAACTATTAAATTAGTCATTTTAACTAATTCATTTTTAGAGAGTAAGATATAGGTTTATGAAGATAAAATATATTTGATTTAAAAGAAATATAAATATAAGTATAAGGTATTAAATTGTTATTTAAGTAATATTTAATAAATAATTAATTAAAAAAACGGTATAATAGATTGGGATTCACGATTTACCTTGCGCTAAAGGTACGTATGGCTGAGTGCTCCACACTCTGCGCCCTCTATCTCAAAAACGGTTCAACGTTTAAAAAAATTTTGTAAACAAAATTTGTAGAGAATTTTATTTTCTACAACTTTTATAATAAATGCAAATACAATAGGAGGCAGAGAAAACGAGATATTCTTAAAAAACTGATTTTTGCGACCTTTGACCTTGAATATCTAAGGCCGCTCACACGTTGGCATATGTGACTTTTGAGACAACATTTGTAATGCTAAAATAAAGGTTTTCACAAAAATTCAGCTTATTCCGTAAGATTCCGAGGTTGATCCCTTTTTTTGACTAAGATGACTGTACTAGAACTAATATATCAGTGTTATTTTATCATAAAAAAGAGTAAATAATAGGCCGACTGTTTTTTCATATTTGTGATGTTGAGCACAAAATGACTGAACTAATATATCAGTGTTATTTTATCATAAAAAAGATTAAATAATAGGCAGACTGTTTTTTAATATTTGTAAATTTTTTTATGCTTGAAATAAAATGACTTGTGTAGCCAGATTGCGGGTTTTATGATTGCTTGTAAAAATTAATACAAGATGCTGACTAATTCGCGATTACTGCATTTTTATTTCCTGGTAAAACCAATATTGGTCTTATCTGGAAGTAAATACCTTGTAATCATATGATTTAAAGTTAATGTTCTTGTGGAATATAATTTTAATTTTAAAATAGTACAAAAATAACGCAGGCCGACAAAAATAAAATTTCTGTTTGGTGCCTGGCAACCAACAACTTTTTAAGGGTAATTCAGGTACGCTGAATCCAAAAATGAACGTCATTTTGCTCAATCACCTCTTGTTTTTGCGATGTAGACAAAAAAACATTTTTTTATACGCGCACATTCAAATGCTTAAATATATTTTTTAAAACTTCTAATTTAAGCAAGGATAGTTGGTTTTGTTGCTATGGGTCTTTATTAAACTAAAAAAATACCATATACATTGATAATGGTATTATCTTTAAAAATCTTGCTTTCATAAAAAAAATCAATGTTTTAGTCAAAATTCGGATATTTTTAAAATTCAAAGTTATACAGCATAATCAATTTTTGCCCGATTTACCCTATTTGTAGCTCTATTTATCTACTTTATTGTGTTAAAACTTCAATGCAATCAAATAAAAATTGGCAACATGGCAATAAAATCAACCAAGCGAGTCAAAATACAACGAAAGCACAACCCCGAGCACAACCCTAACCAAACTAAAAAATTTGGTTATAAAATCAGTTAATCCTGCGATCAGTGACGTAACTACAATGGTGCCAGTAGTGCGCGCCATTGGGGAGCATGCTCGGCCCGGTGGCTCGGTTAAAGCGTAAAAAAAACTTGTGGTAATTTTAACTATTGAGTGTCGACATTACTTTGTTCGAAATTTTTTAAATTGTTTGTCGTTTTATAAATAAACGTATACGTTTGTCGTTTTATATAGTTGTATATAATACTTTCAAAAAATATACTTCCGACACTGAAAAATTGGTTTTCAGCTCACCAAATTTGAGCTCTTAATATTAATAGGAAGATCCTCCTCATCACAGTTTTCCATTTTTTTAGTCCCTCATAAAAAAGACCATATTTTATTATTAATCAATCGTTTAATCAAATCTTTATACATATTTTCCTAGTAAATTGAATGCCCTACAAAAAAGGACTAGTGTTTAACCGATTACTCTAACCATTTAAAAAAAAAATCAAGATAAAAGAAATTAAAAAAATATAGTATATATAATTTTATTTTCAAATTTGGTGAGCACTTTCTAGAAGTCCCAAGAACCAATTTTTCAGTGTCGGAATTAAAAAAAAATATTTTTTTAATCACCCTAATATACAATTACAATTTTTTTATAACTAAACTAATAACAGTTTTTGGTGGTGGTAGAATTGTTTTAGGTCCATTTTGCACTTTGTTTAAAATAATTATAATTGGTATATTATAGAGATAAGGGCCGGATCTAATATTTGAAACCAGGGCCCCACGTTGTCTTGTTACGCCACTGCCTGCGATTTAACCTACCTCGCCGGTGGATCTAGTAATCAAACATTTAAACTACATTTTTCGCGCTGTGCATGACAAACTTTCGAACTAAGCGAGATTAAACTCCTAGCTTCTATTAGCATTACGGGCATTAATAACTTAGACGTTATTGCATACCATAAATGCAAAACAAATTGGAATGAATAATAATAATAATAAATTATGCCCTAAAAACAAGATTTGTTTAGAACATAATATATTATTCAAATATACCTATATTTATTTCAGTATTTCATCAGTACAATTTTTATTATAACAAAATTTAAAACGCGAAGTTAAAAAGTCATAATATTAATTATATATGTATTTAAGGTAACGTATGGGAAACCCCGAACATAGACAGCCCCTCGTCCCGCTACGGTCATTCCACAGTGATCTACGGCGACAAGATATTTCTCTACGGCGGCGTTTTAGGCAACCGCGGCCCCACCTCAGAGTTGTGGGCCTTTGACATCAGCGCCAAAGTGTGGGAAAACATCACCGTGAAAGCGGAACTGTGCAACGGAAGCTACATGCTGTGCGGGCCGCTGAAATCGGCAGGGCACACGGCCACCATCATCAACACGCCCAACAAAAAAGACGACCGGATGATCGTTATATTCGGGCATTCGCCTCAACTGGGCTATCTGAACACGGTGCAGGAGTATAATTTCGGTACTAGAGAGTGGCACGTTATAAACAACACGACCGGTTATCCAGTCAAGGGTGGCTACGGGCATACGGCGAGTTGGGACCCGTTGACGTCAAAGATTTACGTTTACGGCGGTATTATATCCGAGAGCGATTCAGTTAGTGTTTTAACGCGTACTTTGTACTCCTACGAACCCAATAAAAGAATATGGACTCTACTTGCTGACGCTCCTTCCTCGAGGTTTCTACACACAGCTACGTTTGTATCGCCTGGCCTTATGTTGGTTTTTGGCGGTAACACTCATAACGATACTCATCAGAGCTTCGGTTCCAAATGTTACAGCTCTGAGTTGCTGGCGTACGATGTCGTATGTAACAGCTGGCAAGTTTTGCAAGTGCCAAAAGATATACACGCTGATTTAGCACGTTTCGGGCATTCCGCAGTGGTCTTTGAAGGTTCCTTATACATTTATGGAGGTTTCAACGGACAAATGTTGTCCGATATGCTAAAATATACGCCTGGTGACTGCGCCAGCGACCGCTTCAAAACGCTAAACTCTTGCCTCAACACACGACCTGGTGTTAAGTGTGTTTGGAATGTGAAAAACGCTAGCTGCTGGCCAATACAGAAACTCCCGAAAGAGTACACTTTCTCCGATTCAAACTTTCAACTTTGCCCAGTCTTGAATCGGTCATCGATCACCTACAACATTATTCAGAACGTGGATAAGTGCAGCAAGATGGAGGACTGCGTGAGCTGTGTGCAAACGACCAATTCTTGCGTGTGGTGCGGGACGCAGTGCGTGTACCACAACAAGTGCAAGAATAGTTCCGAGCCGGTGGTGTCCGTGATGGACAATTGTTCGGTGGATCATGCGCCGATTTGCAAGAGGCTGCACGCCTGTTCAGCATGCACGTCTAAACCGTTTTGCAGGTGAGAAAGACTATTTAAATTTAAAATTTTTATTTATGCCAGAAGAGACAATATTATTATTATTTTGTCGTTTTTTTCTTTTGTTTTTAATATAAAATATGCAACAAATTAATTTTATGTCTGGTTTTTAAAAAGCTGAGCAAAAAAAATTGCCTAGAAGGGCAGAAATTTAAAATTAAAAAATGCCGATATACATTTTAACACTAGATTTTTTTATACTTTGTTTCTTTTTGGTTCGTTTTATTTATTTAGACTTTGAAAGCTAAACAAAAACAAAACAAAATTAAAGCTAGGTAATTGTCTATATTAAATAAAAATTAAAATTAGATCTATTGAGAAATATAATCATGGATCTTAGTATGTAAAATATGAGTAAAAAATTGTTTACTTGTTTCATTTATATACAGTGTGACCCATTTGTTTGCGACTCACCCCTGTAAAATCTTTATTTATTGTGCGATTTTAACCGGATTTGTTTTAAAGTGTAGATCTTGATAAACTGTATTTTTGGAGCAAAATACCAGGCCTACTATGTCAGTTTTTAGGAGTATATTTTTAAGAATTCATATTAGCGATTTTTTTAAACAAAATATAAGCACAGCACTGGATTCACCACCCCTCAAAACTATCCTATACTAAATTTTATTAAAAAATTTTAAGAAAAAAAATGCACAAAAATAACTACAAAAATTTATTTTGTCAAGTTATCCATGAAAAAAACATTGAAATAAAATTAAACTAATATTAACATGGTACTATTACTATAAAATTTAGTTTAGGGTAGTTTAACTAATATGAATTCTTAAAAATTTACTCTTAAAAACTGACATAGTAGGGCTTGTATTTTGTAAAAATATGGCGTTTTTTTGCTTCAAAATACAGTTTATCAAGATCTATACTGCCGTGCTTAATGAAAACGCCGTAACCAACAATTTTGCGATTTTTGGTTTACGGCATTTTCTACTAGAACAATTCATCCTGCGTCTATCCCCGGTACTCAAAAAACCGTATATATATAGATACGGTTTTTTGAGTACCGGGGATAGACGCAGGATGAATTGTTCTAGTAGAAAATGCCGTAAACCAAAAATCGCAAAATTGTTGGTTACGGCGTTTTCATTAAGCACGGCAGTATAGATAGATATATATAAATTATTTATATTTTTATTGTTATACTGTACATATCTTGTATACATGTTATATTTATATTGTTATTTTTTGTATAGGTGAGATAGCTTTCTTGCTAAATAAAGATTATTATTATCTACAGTTTAAAACAAATCCGGTTAAAATCGCACAATAAATAAAGATTTTACAGGGGTGAGTCGCAAACAAATGGGTCACACTGTATAGCTCAGTCAAATTAGGCGAAAAATCGGCCGGAAAAAATCCTAGCTAAGATTTTTCCAAGCTAAATCGTGTCTGCGTTGCCAAATATTGAAGGTCAAAGGTCACGAAAAACAGTTTTTATCTTTTTGGCAACGCCGACACGATTTCGCTTGGGATTTTTGAGACATTATTACCAAAGCCTATGTAAACAAGATTCCGAAGAAAAATCTTAGTTGGGATTTTTTCAGAAGTAAATCCCCAATTTGACTGGGTTATTAGTAGTGCTGTACAATTTAGCCGGTCATCTGTCACCTGTCATCTGTCATTTGTCATCAGCTATTTGTCATCTGTCACCTGTCATCTAGCACCTCAGCCGGAAATATTATAAGCTCTAAACGGAACTGCTTACTTCCCGAAAATGCAAATTTATTAATTTTCCTTTACCAAAATAGAGATATAACTGAAAAAAATTTAACAATTAATTTAAAAGACATTTTTTTAAATAAAATGTAAAATATTATTTAACCTAATAAATTACTCTGTTATTGTTTGTCATAAAAGCAACATCAACATTATTATTTTTTTAACCTGTCCGTGAATAAGAAATTATTACATAGCTTAAAAAAATTAGCCGTTTGGCCGGTTAGCCGTTAGCTAATTAGCTGAGCTAAGCTAAATTAACCGGTTAAGCCGCCAGCTAATTAGCTAAGCTAATTTAGTTAACCGGTTAAATTAGTTAAGCTGATCAGTTAGCTAGCTAATTAACTTAGCTAACTTTTTTGGCCGGCTTAACCGGCTAAATTGTACAGCACTAGTTATTAGTTATATTCAGTCATAATTTTAGACATTTCAATTTAAAATTATTAATGTCTTTATTTCAGTGCAGTATGAATATTTATTTTCTTCTGTTTAATACCAATAATCTTTACGCATATTCTACAAAACTCTTTATCTTCTTAATACTCGTAGTATGTTCCACATCCAAAAGGCCCTCTTTAACATTTCAATGAGGAACGCACCCCATAATTTAGGTTATGTATCTGTCAGTTTAACTCTAATTTCGCCTAATTGTCCGAAAATAATATAACTCATGCATTTTAGCGAATAAAGCTTAATGCCACAAAACAGAATAAGTTAACTTAAAAATATTTATGTATTGATAATTTCTTATTATAAATCTGCGTTCTTATTCAAATGTTAAAGTGAGTTTCATAGATAACAAAGCCTTTGATGGGTCTTTTGAGTCTGAATCATAGAGAAAAAAAGAAAAGACTGCATAGTATTATAATTATATAATTTTTAAAATTTGAATAAATATTACATTAATTATATCAATAAAATTAATATTGTTTTTACCAAAATCCCTAAAAAATAAATTATGTATTTTAAGAAACCTTTTAAATGAGGATCAAAATAAAATGGGGCTCTTTAAAACAGTTTATTATGCAACAACCATTTAATTTTTTTGTTTACCTTAATGCCTAAATTTTAACACCCTGTATGATAAGACAATCTGTGATTGATCCTTTACTGATTTTTGAATTTTGTGGTAAATTTCATTATGAATTAATTCGAAATATGGAATGTTTATTGAGTATGCAGATATGCATCTGATGTCTTGCAGTACTTTGGAATCCAGAAGGTTATATCACAAATGATGTCCTAATCATAATATTTTAAATTAAGTTGACCAACGTCTAAGTAAATTAGTAAAGTAATATTATTGACTTTCTTCATAATTTTATGGAAATTTTAAGAACAAAAGTAGTGATGCTGGGTCAGAGTTGCAAATAATGCTTATTTTTTTTAATGCATTTAATACACATTATCAAAATATATTTTAATTTTCATTATACATTACTTCTTTTTTAATGAAAATTAAGATAATTACTCATTACATTTTTTCCAATGGGTAATGTATTCTTTTTTACATTACTCATTTTTAATGTGTAATGAGTATTTTGAAATTTTCAATTAAGTACAATTTTTTATGTAAACAAGTAATGTACTCACTTTACATTACTAATTTTTTTAATTTTTAATGAGACATGAATGATAATAGTATTTAGTAGACAAGGAATAGTTATTTACGATATAAGTGGGATAAGAGCTTTATTAACGTACGCATGCAAAAGTACGTTAATAAAGCGTTATCACACGTATATTGTACAAATTTTTATCTACGCCTCTAAATGGAAAAATAAACATAATTATTTTTGTCTAAGACTTTAATTTAGGGTTATTTTGACATTTTGACATTTTGACTTTTTTATTTGATTGGTTAAAAGCAGAGAAAAACGCGTGCGTTAATGAACTTCTTATCTCACTCAAAATGAGTGGGATAAGAAGTTCTTATCTCACTGGCGTAGATAATAGTTATTTACGATATAAGTGGGATAAGAGCTTTATTAACGTACGCATGCGAAATTTGCCCAACGAGTGCGTAGCACGAGTTGGGCAATCGCAAAAGTACGTTAATAAAGCGTTATCACACGTATATTGTACAAATTTTTATCTACGCCTCTAAATGAAAAAATAAACGGTAATTATTTTTGTCTAAGACTTAATTTAGGGTTATTTTGACATTTTGACATTTTGACTTTTTTATTTGATTGGTTAAAAGCAGAGAAAAACGCGTTCGTTAATGAATTTCTTTTATCACTCAAAATGAGTGGGATAAGAAGTTCTTATCTCACTGGCGTAGATAAAACATTTTTATTGCATGACACTTTTGTTTTGAATTGGTTTTTTACCAGTAACAGACGTTCAAAATTAATTATTCGTTCATACCATCGCGGATTCAATAATTTTTTCTCACCCAATTATCCCTAATTAACCCGTCTTAAAATTTCTTGATTGGGTAAAAGTTTAACGTAAAAAAATTGCAAGGAAATCAAAGAATACAAACAGTTTGAAAATTAAAATTTTAAAACTCAAAATTCGCCTGAAAATATGCTTTGGATAATTTTGAAACACGAAAATTTTAGAAAATAAAAATTTCAATTCGGACAATTATTACAGAAATTAGCAGCAAAAACAACCAAAAAACGCGATTGTTTTGAAAATTTGATATCTTTTGAACGAGTAATCAAAAAAATATCTAACCTTACCAGAAAGGGATTTTAATGGGAACTTAAAAATATCGAAAAATAAAATAAATCGAAAATGAACATTTTTTAAACTGTCAGGTGTAAATTGCCCCATATAAAAAATCACCCCATCAACCCGGATCATTTTTCACTGATGTAATGGGTAATGTCTTTGTTAAACATTTTTTTATTGTGTAATGTACGGTCTCTTATTACTCATTTTTTATGTTTTTAATGAGTAATGTATTGTTGGAATTTTTTAATGTGTAATGAAAATATTTTTCATTACAAAATTTGTTTTAATGATTAATGTATTCAAATTAAATTACCATTAAAAAAAATTACATTTTTGCAACTCTGTGTGGGAAGAACAGTACCTACTCCGCAACTAGAGGAAAATATTTTAAGTTCTGTAGAACAAACTCCTTTAACGAGCACTCAAAAATTATCAGCACAGTTTAATACGTCGAAAACAATAGTGCATGAGCTTCTTTAATAAAAAAACTGCCTATTGCAACGAAATAATGTTAACTTCATTAGCACCATTCTTCACTGATGAAGTAGGGTTTACCAAAAATGGAATCACGAATTTACACAACACCCATGTATGGGCTGATGAAAAACAGTTCCAATCAGTGATGGGCAAGTACCCGGTATATTGAAATTTGGGTAAATACCCAAAGTATGTACCCGGTATGTACCCAATGGGTAAATTAAGGCTGCATTCAATTTGGTATTTACCATATACCCGGTATATACTAGGCCCTTTAAGAATAAAAAGTATTTAAATAAATCGAAATAAAACGAAAAATAATGTACACATTTTAAAAATAACATTTTAATTAAAACAAAAAGATTACAAAAACCAAAACAAACAAACAAAACAAAAATATTTATTATAAATTGTAATGCTTTATGCATTATTTTTAAATTAAAAAATATTTGTATATAAATAATTTGTAATTTTCGCCTGGGTATATCAGTATTATTTTTGCACATTTTTTTGAAAATAAGAATATTGGCAACGACCCGGCAAAAAAGGAATACCCTGTATACATAAAAATTACAAAAAAAATAAAAAAATACTATGGCTTAAGTTAAAATACTTGACAAAAATATATAGAATATGATCTTTGTACAAAACTTACCAAAATATTTTATATTTCTATATAACAATTGCAATTAAAAGAGAAATTTTCAAGTGCTGTAAAGTCACAGCAAATACTGCACAAGTGCATATGTACTTACTACCATACCATACCCTTCGGTACTTTCCTTCTTTGTCTTACGACTCGCTAAAACCTATTTTGTATGTATATTAGGGTGCTTCAAAAATAAAATTTAATTTTTTTTCGCTCTTACCCTCTCAAATGTTTCTATTTAATGTAAAAAAATCCTCACCAAATATGGGCGTTCCAGCTCAACTCTAAGAGGTCGCTATTTTTATTTTAGTTTCCCATTTAATTAACATGGGAAAAAATAATTTTATGTTTGCAATTTTATACCTCTGTATCAAAGTAACTTATGGCAATGATCATTGCAGTTTCTCATATAAAATATAACGCTCTACAAAAAGGGTCTCTTATTATTTTTCGATAAATTGATTTCTTCTAGAGTTATTCGAGGTCAAAGATTGATTAACATCAAATTTTCTGTTTTTTTTTTTAATTTTATGGTACAATTAGCAGACGGGAGGCAAAACAATGCAGCGGGGGGCAAAATGGGGTACCCAAAAAAATTCGTGAAGACAATTTTTTTTAGATTGTTTTTTTCTGTTTCTAAATTATTTGAAAATTGACTCACAAGTTCACGCTTTTAATCGAAAATAATTATTCCGAGCCTGTAGAGCGAGAAAAAGGATGGTACAATTTTGGAAAACTTTTCATATGCTCATTTTTTGGGTACCCCATTTTGCCCTGCTACCATAAAATTAAAAAAAACAGAATATTTGATCAAACTTTGACCTCGAATAACTCTAGAAGAAATCAATTTATCGAAAAATAATAAGAGACCTTTTTTATATTTTATATAAGAAACTGCAATGATACAGAGGTATAAAATTACAAACATAAAATTATTTTTTTCCATGTTAATTAAATGGGAAACTAAAATAAAAACAGCGACCTGTTAGAGTTGAGTTGAGACGCCCATATTTGGTGAGGATTTTTTTTACATTAAATAGAGAGCAAACATTTTTTTTTTATTTTTTGAAGCACCCTAATGTATATACACTGTTTATAATGTTTACGCATACTAATTTAAATAAACCTAAATTTATGATATTTTGAAAAAAAAATCATATAAAAAAAATCTAGACGTGATAGAAAAAATCGGCCACCCGGAACAAATTCAGAGCATTAAAATTTTCATATTTATCATGTAATTTTTTGAAGGAGGATTTCGATGCAGACCAGTGTTTTAAAGGAAAACCGATTTTCAGCGGCATCCTTTCGGGCCTCATGTCTCCGTAAGGAGAGAGGGCTTACCGGATACCCTGTATACATTTACAAGTTCATACATTTATGTATGGGGTCGCACTGTGGTCTAGAACGCGATTTCAGCGCAAACTAATTAGAATCGCCCATAGAATTTGTCTATGGAATCGTCGTTGAAGTCACAATACAGAAACGACAAAGTAATACCTTGGACAGTATTTTACTAATAAAAAAATAAACACTTAAAAACAAATCTAGAGGGTCCTGGTGCGATTTTAGCATATTGCTTTAAATTTTATCCGGTGTTATGATATTTTGTCCTCGATTGATAAGTGTGATATAACAAGACCTGATAATATTAAAAAGTAATTAAATTATTCTTCGTGAAACTAAATATGGCAATTTTGAGAGTCGAATGTTTGAATTAATTCGTGCTATCTATGCTGTTCTTGTCAAAAGCAAGCGTAATATGCAAACAAAGAGAATAATCAAGTTTTCTTTCTCTATTGTGTAAACCATAGTAAGCATTGTGATGATGTTTTAGGTTCCGTTTCGAGCACTCGAAATGCGTGCCGGTCTCCTCGAACCTGACCCTGGACGCCGCCTCGGAATCGCCTCAGTGCCCGAAGGTGTGCGCGGACTTCAACTCGTGCACCAACTGCACCCTGGAGGAATGCATCTGGTGCCAGAACGAGGGCCGTTGCGTCGACAAGAACGCCTACACGTCTAGCTTTCCGTACGGTCAGTGCCGCGAGTGGACAACCGAGGGCGAGAAGTGCCGAACGGCGAACGGCAGCCACGAGCACTCGCAGTGCGGATCGTATCCCACGTGCTCCAAGTGCAGGGACGATCCGGCGTGCGGATGGTGCGACGACGGCTCCAAGACCGGCCTCGGTACGTGCATGCCCGGAGGATACACAGGTAAAGTGAAATACATTTTTGGAAAAGCAAAAAGTTTTTTTTCGGACTTCAATTTACTTAATTTTATTAGAAATCATAATCAAAATAATATATACATTATACATACATATTATGATACATTAATATTGAAAAAAAATCAGGATAAGCATCGTTGCATAAAAATAAGAAAAAAGAACTTGAAAAATCTGATTTTCTCTAATTTATAAAATGGTCAGCTTTTAATATAATATGATTTCATTTATTTATTCCAGTGGCGTCCTGGGGCATCTTAGCGGTTATTTTAAAGATAAAATTTGTCACGCTACTACTTTAAATTTTTTTTATATTTGTTTTAGATAAAACAATTAATAACAAAAATGTATATTGTTTTTTTTTACTTTTTTTCGCATCTCGTCCCGTATTCGAGAAAAACAAATTTTTATCTGCACTAAAGCAAGTGTTAAAACAAAAATGTTCAAAATGTAGGTGTATTGAAAGAACTTAAAATAAAAATAATAAAATATATTATATTAAAAGAACTATTTCTGGAAACTAGTTAATTATTAACTGTTAATAGGAAGTATTTTTTTAAACTCTTATGTACCTAATAAATAAATATAAATGAATCACCCTTTATATTTTACACTCAATAAAAATAAGTGTTACATAATCCATCTATAAAAAGACATCCTCATTATATTAAAACTAAAGGACAAAACCTTGAAGAAGTACAGCAAATAAAATACCTAGGACTTAACATAGATAGACTAAGGTGAGGACCTGAAATGATCTTATTTAACAATTAACTATAACACTAGCTTATACATATGTAATATGTATTATATAAAATATAATATATTATAATAAAAAAACATAGTCAATCATATCAACTAGCCTTATGAGCAGCAGGTGCCTAAACACCCACAAAGGGCATAAAATAAAGTAATAAAGCCTTGTATAAATTGACAATAGGGCCATTTTAAGCATGCGGACGGGACAAATTACAAAACTGTTTTTATAAAAAAAATGGTAGATAATTATCTCCACTTTTATAAAATATTTCTTGCGTTTTATTTAATTTAATGTAAAGCCTAATCAAAGAAGAATATTTTTGACAATTTTGATGCCAAAATATTATATAATAAATTATAATTTATGTTATATTTATAACAGCAAATTTCATAATCACAACATGAGAGAAAAAGACAATTACAGATTACCAAAACCAAAATTTTATGCATAGGTATTAAAAAATGACAAAATAAGTGTATTTTATATTATTCTTCCAGGTAAAGTTTTACAATAATAATTATATAATATAAATGTCATTTATTACACGAGTTTAATTGTGCACGAGCAAACCGAGTTTTTAGTAAATAATTGGTCTTAAGCAGCTTTTAAAACGAATTGCATCACTAGAAAACTATAGGGTATATCTGTAATAAGCATCTTCTCTAAAATTGTCGAAAAAATCATTAAAATTAGAATATTAGAATTTTTACAAAAACAAAATTTCAGCGCCGGATTTAGGGGGGGTCTTTGGGGGTCTATAGACCCGGGGCGCAAGCTTACAGGGGGCGCAAAATTTTTGACTGGTAATTTTTGTTTTTTACTACAACCTAAAGGGTTTTCCCCTTTTTTTATTTTTCGTGTATTAATCAGTTTTAATAAAAAAATTATTTAAATTATAACCGTGATTGTTGCCATAGTATTATTATCTATGCATAGTATACGAAATATGTCATGTCACGTATTACGTAGGGCGCCCGACAAGTTGTTGGGCGACAAGAACTTTAGTTTGCAGAAATTGATTATTTCCACCGATGCGATGCGTATGGGCGTAAAGGTTTTTTAATATAAGAATATTTTATTAAACTACGAACCACTTTTAATTTAAATTAGTTTAAAACTATAGTTATATACAGTACCAGTCATATATATATGTATGTATATATACAGTATAGGTATTAGCCTATTGAAAGATGACGTCAATATTTCGATAAACAAATTTGCTTCTCTAAAAGCACGCAAAGTTGAGTTGGCAAAATGTTAATTTTCTTATTTAGGTATTTGTTTTTTATATAGTTTTTGTTTATGTTTTTAGGGTGGCAATATTTTTTCGACATTTTTTTTTATTTCGGAGCTCAAATGAAACAATTTAAGTTTAAAGTATTCAAGTTTCAACTCAAAAAAAATAAACGTCGCTCAAAAAAATCAACTAAATTGGAAAAAATAGTAGTGGTTACAAGATCAAAATTATTAAAAAAATCAAGAAATGTATTTCAAAAATATTGAGCGACCAATATTATTTTGACTTAAAAATGTACCTATTATGTTCCTATACGACCTACAAAAAAAATAGTGAGAAGCCAAAGATTTTGAGAAAAAAGGTTGGTTTAATAGTATATTACACTACAAGGGCAGAAAGTGTGAGATTCCTGCACAGTTCAGGGCTCTCACACTTTCTGCCCGTGTAGTGTATACTATTCTTACTACCTCGGCCGAAAATACAGCCCGGCCGAAAATACGGGAAAAAATTAAATGTGTATTTATGTACTATGCTCCACACTTCAAAGTCCCACCACGTGACCAGGTACGGAACGCAGTCTTTTGAAAATTTGGCATTTAAGGCTTTTCAGGTTATGTATCTGTCAAAGTATAGTCAATGAAAGAAATAATATTTATACTGTTACCGTTTATGTTTAAGCGTTAAAAGTTTATAAATCTTTATAGTATCACAGTAACAATGGTTGGTTTAAGAGTTTAGGAGTATAAATACTGCATTTAATGAAATTCTAAAGTATATAGTGCCAAATAAGTAAAATTTTTGTGCATTTGGTCTACATAATATGTTAATATATTATATCTGGTTTTATCCATAAAATAGTTTTAACTAAACGGCATTTATTAAAAATATCTAGCTTCTCTATTATGGAATAAGAATATCTGTATCAAAGGTAGGTTAATATATTATAACAAAAAATATCATCTAATTTTAAAATTTTAAGGTTAGAAAAATCTATTTTGATCAAAATAAATAAGTATTTTGGATTATTTGGAAGATTGTGTTAATATGGTCATATAAATATAGATATACTAAATAATTGTTGAATATGGTTCAAATTAAATTAAAGCTTTTATACCCCTAACAACAAAACTTGTGCATACCTCTCGGGATCCCTATTTTAAGTTAGATTATAAGGAAACAAACAATTTTTAGAGATACATGCAATGTAAAAATATTTAATACTCCCATAACATGTGATTTTTGAAATTTTTAAAAGTTATAATGATTTATCGATGAAGATAAAATTCAGTTGAAGCTATACGTAATTGTATTGACAAAACTTTATGTAGGTATACTTTAAGCTGGATAAGAAAGACTACTACAAGTAAAAATATTAGATAGAGTATACTGTGGTTTTATTTAAATTTTAGAATTTATAAGGTTATTTATACCTAATGATTGTTTGATGTAGATAAAATTTTGTCGAAGCTTTTATAGGTACTTGTATTGACACTATGAGTATATTAGCTGACAGTGTAAGGAACTTTAAAAAGGTTAGCTATTGAATTTTTAAAAAGAATTTACAGTTTTTTAAAATTAAGTATCTAATGGTTTTACATTTCAAATGTTTAATATTGCTTATTTCCAAGAGCCAGTTGTTCAATTATGATGTCTATTTTGTTTTACTCCGGCATAAATATTTTCAACTGTAAAACTTAACTATTTTAAGATTTTTAAAATTAATTAAATATTAAAAGGGGTTAATTTAAAAGAAGGAATCTAAAAACAACACCTTAAAATTATTAAAATTCTATCTAATATTTTTACTTGTAGTAGTCTTTCTTATCCAGCTTAAAGTATACCTACATAAAGTTTTGTCAATACAATTACGTATAAAGCTTCAACTGAATTATATCTTCATCGAAAAATCATTATAACTTTTAAAAATTTCAAAAATCACATGTTATTTATTTATTTATTTAACATCCAGAGTATTAAATATATTTACATTGCATGTATCTCTAAAAATTGTTTGTTTGCTTATAATCTAACTTAAAGTAGGTATGCACAAGTTTTGTTGTTAGGAGTAGGTTTAAAAGCTTTAATTTAATTTGAACCATATTCAAAAATTATTTAGTATATCTATATTTATATGACCATATTAACACACTCTTCCAAATAATCCAAAATACTTATTTATTTTGATCAAAATAGATTTTTCTAACCTTAAAATTTCAAAATTGGATGATATTTTTTGGTATAATATATTAACCTACCTTTGATACACATATTCTTATTCCATAATAGAGAAGCTAGATTTTTTTAACAAATGCCGTTTAGTTAAAACTATTTTATGGATAAAACCATATATAATATATTAACATATTATGTAGACCAAATGCACAAAAATTTTACTTATTTACTTATTACTTTTACTTATTTATTTATTTACTTTAGAATTTCATTAAATGCAGTATTTATACTCCTAAACTCTTAAACCAACCATTGTTACTGTGATACTATAAAGATTTATAAACTTTTAACGCTTAAACATAAACGGTAACAGTATAAATATTATTTCTTGCATTGACTATACTTTGACAGATACATAACCTGAAAAGCCTTAAATGACAAAATATCAAAAGACTGCGTTCCGTACGTGGTCACGTGGTGGGACTTTGAAGTGTGGAGCATAGTCAGGGTTGCCAGTTCTACTGATTTTTCAGTAGATCTACTGATTTGCTGATTAATCTACTGATCTACTGAAAAATGTTGTAATCTACTGAATAAAAATTTGAGGTTTATTTATTATGGTTATCATATTATATCACTTACATTTATCTAGCATCAAATTCCGAACGCTCTATTTAAAATTCTAACGCGTCTTAGCGCTTGATTTGTTGGTAATACTGACCACGGGCCTCGGGGAATCCCCGTCGGGGATTACGGGGGAATTATGTCAAATAGTATGTAAAAGACCACGGGGACGGGGACTTCGTTTCCGTTTATAATA